TTCAGAGTTTTAACTATAAAGAAACTTCCGTCGTCGTTAGAGTCTTGTCGCCGTGACGCTACTTTACATACTATAACTTGATTATCGAATTACAATTGATTAAGAAAGTATTTTCCTTTCAATATAAATAAGGGTAAATATCTAGGTTAAGAAAGAAGAAATGTATGTATTGACATAAATTGCGAAAGCTGCCATAGTCGTGGGCGCAGTAAGTAGAAGAGGAGAGCTCATTTCTTACCTTACCTTTCGGTGTATGGCCGAATGCCAAAAAACCGTTGATTGTTTACGGTTGTTAAGGAAGTCATAACGGGTTAGCCTGGTAAAAGTATTTTACGTTATAAGCTCGTTACCTAGATCTTTTTTTTTTCTCTCCTGGTCTCGTCTGACTATGTACAGTTCATCAAATTTCTAGAGGTGTTCGACGCCCAGACAGAGAACGCGCTACGTGTGACTAAGATAGCTATTGTACAGTCTGCTAAACAAGTTATTTTAAATAGTTTTTAATATTTTTAGGTAATTAAATTTTAAAAGTGTGGAATAGTTTTGGGATTAAATTGGTCTGATTGGACTTTCTTAGAACGTTTTTAAAAGCAGCTAAAGATAGTATGTAGAATTGAAAATAATTATTATGCCATAAAAGGTGTTTTGGAATTCCTTCAACCTTTTGAAATTGAGTCAGAAAATATAAATTTTATAGGATAGCGGAAAATACCTATAATTTTTCTGTAGGCCTTTGTAAATCGTGGAAATAGTTTATATTTTATTTCTACCTTATTAAGGAAAATGGTACCTATTATTAATAACGGTTGTTTCTGAAACATTACTAAAATTTTCGAAATTTTGTTTTTCTACAAAATAATAAACTATACTATTTAGAAAAAAATTTAAATGTATACCGAGGAATGTATTCCTATAGCATAGCTATGGTTAGTATCAGGGTTTTTGGAGAATACTCCTGCCCCAGTGCCTTCCGCAGTCTTAGACCCGTCTGTATACCAGGTTTGTTCCTGTCGTTGGGCATTGGGCTCCTTTATGGTGATCTCCGCTCTTTCCTGTATTAAAACCTCAAAGGGAGTATTAAAAGAGTACCTCTTGGTTAAGTGGTCTGATCTCATGTCTAGCACGTCTCCTGTCACTAACCTTGAGATACTCATGGTTAAGATTTCGAAGTGTATTCCCTAATCTGTAAGCACCTAGTCTTGCCTCCTCTTGTATCACATAGTGAAGAGGTGGGAGTCCTATTAGTGCTTCCATTGCAGCAGTGGGGGTTGTTTTCATTGCCCCCGTTATTCCGAGGCAGGCAAGTCTTTGTACCTTGCTAAGCCTCGTTATTGCTTTCCTTTGCTGTGTCTTTGGCCACCACACCAAAGATAGATCTTTACATGTGAGTATGTTATATAAACTTGCGAGCATGTAGAGATCAGGTAACGGGCGTGTGTCGTACAACGTTTTATAATATATTGCAATTTACTACGTTTTACAACCTAAAATCAAATAAAATTTTATCATATCCGAATGTGATTTAAAATAATGACAATTCAGTTACAACTGACAGTTAAAATCGCATGAAATAAGGACCATCTACAAACGCACACGCAACAAAATGAAGCTTTGAACATGTGGTCAGCTTTGAATAAAGGTACCATATTTTAAAAAGTAGAAAGCTTGACAAATCTACGAATTCTAAGTGTAGTAGTTACGGTTTGGTTCATTGAAGAGCAAAAAAAGGAAATATTAAATAGAGTGCGTTGTCGCGTTACCATAAAAATGGAGGTTTTAGGAGGCATGATGAAATATTAATTTTTTTTTGTATCGGATAAAAGCGGGTCAAAATTGGGACACATGTTAAATTGGTACTAGTGGTTTCAAATTGGCACTGTCGTTTCTGAAATACAGTGTGTTAAAGTTTAAAATTCAAAAATGAATAATAGTTATATTTTTTTTATTCCTCAGTATAATATTACTAAATTTGGCAAACATTTTTGGTGTCATATGATACATTTTTCAGCAAAAAAACTCTAAATTTAACGCCACTGTCCAAAAACCTATTTCGACTGTAATTTTAACTTTTCTTTATATTTTTTTAAATAAATCATGTACTCTTGTTGAGATCTCATAAAGTCATTGTGTTTCGAGATATTAACACAAGGCGGATACTCATTATTTTAATTTATTTTTTAATTATGTAATTTTTGAATTTTTTCATAAATTTCCAAAAATAGTACATGACTTACTTAAAAAACATTAAAATATTCAAAACTATAGTTCAAATAAGTTCTTGGAGTGTGGCGTAAAATGTATGCCGTACGCCACTGGCAAAGTTTATTTAACTAATTTTTGCTGATTGGTTGGTGTATCTTCTCATCAAGTGTACATGATTTAATAAGAAAACATAGAAAAATGTAAAATTATAGTTCAAATGAGATTTTAGACAGTGTGGCGTAAAATTTAGAGGGAATGAAGGTGTTACTTATCCATGCTGTACGCCACTGGCAAAGTTTATTTAAGTGACTGTTTTGCCAATAGTTGTATCTTATGACACCAAAAAGTTTACCGAATTTAGTAAAAATTAAATGGAGAAATAATAAATTATATCCATTTTTAACTTTAACACCCTTATTTTTAATCAGAGAATCTTCAGTTGTTTTGTGTCCTATTCTTAATGAGACACCCTGTATATATTAAACTGCTGTAAGAGAAGTAAAGATTATAGAAATGTTTAGAAATAATAAATTGATTTTCTGACTGTTTTTACGTATTGTGGCAGCCCTAAATATAAATATACAATTTTGAGGCTTTTGTAGTACCTAATTCCTTTAGTTTTATTTTTCATGACTATTTGAGACATGATTACAGATGAGTTTAATGTTTTCTATTATATTTATATTTAAAATTTTTTGTTCCTAGTAACATACCCAAAAACTAACATAACCTTACATTTTTGTAGTGTTTTCAAACACAATTTTTACAATCAAAAATCATTAGAAGAAAGGAAATTAATTTTCCCTTTCCCAATAGCGCCCACTTACAAAAAATATGGGCGCAATATCAGATCAATGTTAAAGCTGTGTTTATTTTAAGGAAGAGAAGTTTATAGATGACATTCGGGTGCGAATCATAAGAACTGAACCTAAACTGATTAAAGGCTAATAGTAAGATTTTAGAATATTATTCTGCAATTTCTTGCAATCATTAAACATAACCGAGACCCAAAAAAGTCAAAGGGCTTTATTAAAAGAATATAAATATTAAAAATAGGGTTTGTTACAGAAAGTTTTTGGCAAAACTGAGTTTTAAATAATTAAAAAAAAAACAAGGGCTTGTTGAACTTCAGAAGAAACAAAAAATGTATATTTATATCGGAAATAAAAAATATATTTTGTCAGTTCCTAGTTGTTTGATGTATGAACTTTAAAAAAATAAAACAACCGAGTTTTATTATATAATAATCTACGAATAGGTACCCATTTACAGAAAAACATTGTTTTATTATCTATTGTTCATACAATTTAAAATAAGGTACCTAAATAAATCAAATGGTAATTTTAAATACATATTTATACTAATTTATAAGCAAGAGATGAAATTTTATTTATACTTACATTCGAATAAGAAGTTTTTAAAACAGTTTAAAATGTCTGAAAGACTAACGAAGTTGATAATAATCACTATTATTAAAAATAATTACACATATAATATAAAGAGTAGATTTAACATTACATATACTTAGAGCATTTAAATAAAATATAAATATGGAGCTCTGGAAAAAATTCATGGATACCGTGTGTTTTGTCTACTTAAATTATATTAAAAAAAGAACGGCATTATAATAAAATAATGACATGTTTTAAGATTTTTTTATAAATAATTAACATAATATTAGAGGTAAATTTAATAATTTCAAAAAAAATATTTAGTTCTAATAATTTAATCACAGAAACGTTTAAGTAAAAATAAACCTACGATTAGGACAGGTGAATACCAGCAGCTGAATTTAAACCTAAACGAGCATGGTTAATATAATTATCTATTTAAATATTTATGGAAAAGACACAAATTCATTTAGGTGAACAGGAAATTCGAAATAGTAGAAAAACTAATTTTCTCCAGAGGGTTTTGCCCCGATCAAACTCGGCGATATGTAGAGAGGTTAAATTAGTAAAAGTTTTGTTTCAATTTTTCTCAAAGAATCAGAGAGTACGTAAAGTGACATGAACAAGAACAGTGAGTATTATCTTTAAAAAAACTACTTCCTTTCGTATTAAAAACTATGATTGTACCTTCTCATATCAAAATTTCGGAGATGAATTTAACAGGTTCAGTTCCTACTGGGTCAAAGCAGTCTCTACCCAGAAACCAACAGTAACTTTTATTATAAAAGTATACTGTGGCCTTTGTTTGGATATATTTGAAAGATATCTGACACATTGACATATTTTAACCACTGTCCAGTTAACTGGATACCAGTATATTTTTTTCACATTCATAGCAAACACTAGTGTCCAGATTTTTAGGGCAAATCTTTGCCCAAGGCTCGCTTCAAAGCCTAAGATATATCGCAATAGACCACACGTATATCTAATTTAAGGGGTTTCAACTTAACTGGACGCGGTCTATCATTAGAAACTCTTGCGTCCAGTAAACTGGACGCGAGCTGTCATTTGAAACTCTTGCGTCCAGTAACTGCACGTGGGCACTGAACCTGTTAATTTTCAAAGGATATTTCTTTTCTGAATGGCTAAGTACCTACTTTAAAGGTAATTATAATAAATGCCAATTTGACATTGTTTCCATTATTCACCGATTTGTTTGAAAAAATAGTTATTCTAAACTGGTGAGTACTACATTTTACAGCCACCGGCAAATTTAAAAAGTTGTATTGGGCAATTCGGAAAGTTGGACCTAACGAATTGTACAAATCTTAATTTATTACTCAATAGATTTGCGTATAGAAAATAAAATAAATAAGTCAAATGTTTTAAATAGATCAAAATCATTACCTTCTTCGTCGCTTCCCACCATGGAATACCGCTCGAAACCGCTAAGATTCCTATGCGTCCCTAATCCAAAATCATCTTTAGTCCATTGCAATATCCCGCTCTTTCCTATCACCCTACACGGCAATGTCACTTTGGAACCAACAACGGCCGTTTGATCTTGCGGTTCCATGGCGAATTTTTGCTCCCTGTTCGGATCCGAGCCGACCACTACGAGACAAAAACTCGTTATCCTAAGCAGGAGCAGCAGGAATTTGTACGATGACGTCATTGTTGATTGTCTTGGCGAAATTCTGAAACAAGAAATTTAAGGTAAAAATCTGTATTTTTAAAATTTTTTACCACACATATTTTATAAAAATAAAGTACAACGTACTAGTAAAGTAGGTAACTTGGTTCCAATAAAACAAAAAATTATTAATTTTGTTTCTGGGTTTAAGTTACTGACAAAGGATTCATATTGTTTTCTTCTTAAACCGTTTATACATATCCATATCTCTTGTTGTGTATTTCCTAAATCATTTATTATATTCTCAAAATACAGTTGTTTGCGTGCATGGCAGTGTTGGTATTCAAAGTTAAAAACTAAGATATACTAATAATTATAATTTTAATTTAAGGAACATAATTTCACATTTCACACTCAACTAACTTTTGATTAGTAAAGGGATGCATACACCGTATGCATTATTTTTATAATTAAAAAAGTAAATTTAAAATCATATCTCCGTCTACGTGTAAATAATTCATTCTCAGCCTTCGTTTTTTTGACACTAAATAACTTAGCTAAATAAAGTTGATGACAGCGCGCAAATCAACCTAACCATTCGCAGACTTTATTAAAACATATATTTGATGTCCCGGAGTGAGCGAGCTTCTCCTGCTGTTTGTTTTTTTTTTCATTTTTATTTTCATCGAGGTTTACATCCCTAACATTCACCCGGACTCATTTGGATAGCTGACACTTTTCACTTGCTAAAATTAATGCTAGTTTTCGAGTCGCAGGTTTTTCATGTTTTTTTTTTCGCATTTCCATATGGAAGTACAAAATTCAATTAGATTTGCAGCTGTGCCAGTCTGCTCTTTGTGGTATGCTTAGAATGATATGTATCTGCAAATCTATTAAGCATAACATTACAATTAGTATCACTATGTTTAAACAGTAACACAAGTTATTCATAAAATAAATAATTATTCTTTTTAATAATATATATTGTTTTCTAAATCCCTTTCTATTTCAACTAATATAAAGATAATTTGAACCATCTGTGTTTTTTATATTAATACGTAAACCTACCAGGTATTAAGATTGCGTACGAAAATTTATTTGCCATTGTCAAAATTGAAAGTTAATTAAGCAAAGCATATTCTGGAGGATTTCATATCAATTGGCGCTAGTCAACGTGGAGCTCGATAGCTAACAAAAAAGAGGACATATAGAATTTGGCAAGGGAACTTTGAACAAAAGAAATTCGGTAATTTATTTTATCCATATGTAAATTGTTGATTCATTTGAAGAAAACTAAGTAAAAACAGTGAATAAGAACAATGTGTAAGAACAGGGTGTAAATATGGAAATTTGGAATGTTATTTAAATAGAAACAATTACAATTTGGTGTAGAAAGTTTTGGGGAATTTGGGTGAAATTACATTAGAGTAAATTAAGAAATATTGATATAGAAAAATGATAGTTTGTTATCAGTACGATATAAAAGTGTTACTATAATTGTATGAAAACTTAAAAATGATTAAATAGACCTGCGAACAGGAAAGAAGTTTACTTTGATGGAAGAAAAAGAAAGAGAAGATGAAGAAGGCTTAGAACAACTAAGACAGGGAGATATGGAACAACAAATTTTAGAAAATACAATTGTAGAAGAGAAGGAAGAAAGAACAATGGAAATTTATTACTATAGTAAGAAAGGATAGTGTTGGAACTAAAGTAAAAGAAGAAGCAGTCAAAATAGAAGATTGGATGCAGTAATTTTTCCATGGAAGAAAATAGTCAGAAAATTTATCAAAAAGGAAAGAAAGATATAAATAAATTATTGATAAAATCATTAAATCTGATTCAAGAGAGCTATAGGAACTTGTAGGATAGTAGAAAACTACAAAAGGAAGAAATAATTAAGTAATTAGACGTAATTATAGAATAAATAGTAAAGGAACAAAGAATATAAAAGATGTAAATTAAAAGAATTTAAAGTAAATAAAAAAATAGAAGAATTGTTAGAATTAAAAAAGAAAACAATGTATATAAAAGCAAAAGAAGTTGAAATAAAAAAGAAAATTAAGGAGGTAAATAAAGTAGAAGATATAATAATTGATATTAAAGGAAAGCAGATTCGAAATGTAGATTTTTTATTGATTGTACACCTATATATCTTCTTATGTACTTTTTAAATTATGTAAACTTCATAGTTTGTACCATTATTTATACAGAATATGCATTTACAGCCCTGATACAGTCGAAAAATTAGGAGACGGCAATTCATTTTCAATTAACCCTTTCCACATACTTGTTTTCTCATACTCAATAAAATAAATTAGTTTATTGAACTATAAAATATATCACTGAATTATAGCCATTATGAGTAACATATTGCCTTTTTCCATGCAAATAAAAATGTATCGTTAAATCCAAAAAAAGTAACAAATGAAACCAAGTACAATGGATCTAAAACAGCTCTTGACTATTACAGTACCTTATAACAGGAAACATTTTTAAGAAGGTACCTAAAAAAGCATTAGTTAAACTCAGTTACCAATTATGCCTGGAAAGTAGCAGAGGTAATAATTATGGCCAAATCAATCATCATAGTACAGCCTAAGAGACATTATAATAGAAACAATAAATTCATATAGAAAAAAAGTTCTAAATGAGATCAAAATTTTCGTTAAATGCATCTCAGATGTTCGCAAAGCGTATGCGGTCAAAATATATCGATTTAGCCCTGTACAACACTGTTTAAATATATTATGAGGATCGCTCAGTATTTCATATTCACAGTAATATTACATAAGCGATGGAAAGATAAAAACTAATTCCGGTCGTTATTCTTGCTTTTTAATGGGCCCAAAACTACTCGGGTCTTCAGTTAAATAACTCACGCGCTTATATCCCTTAAAAATTGATAGAAACACTCCGGCATTCTCAGTGATTTGTAGTTAGTGCCCTTTGAGTCGTCCTGTTCCTGAGGAGAATAACCGCAACAGCGCATTATGAATGCACATGGAGTCCTCTACACTATCTGAAACCCCGTTAGACGAGACAGCTACAACGTGTCGGGACGCGTAAAATGCAAGAAACTACTTGTTCCTCTTGTGTATTACGATCTCTGGATTCCGTTTGTAAAACTGTATACATGTCGGATATGCTGCGTGCCTGAACACACCGATGGAGGGGCACTAACATTATAAACATCAAATATATAGGACAAACAGGTCGTTATTTAGATATCAGTCTGTAAATGTAACTATTTTGCAAAATATGCAAATGACGATAACACACTGATCTGGTGCAATTAAATGTATTTCTAAACTGTAATTTTTTATGCAGATACATATTGTTATGGGGAATGTTTTTTGTGAAATATATAGCACTACGTTGTGACGTTATAATTGTAATGAGTTTTAAATAATTTATATCACAAATCATCCTCCACACAAATACTTAATGCTCCGGCTAAAATGTTATCTAATGCAATAAATGAAACGATATGACTCAATTCTTTTAACTAATGGGTTTAAAAATTTTCATCCATGTATTTAAGACACTTACCTCTGTACCTCGTATATTGTCAGCTCTTGTATTGAAATAAAAATAAGTAAAAGTTTGAGACTCTGTGTATAACTTGTAGTTTTATTTAAAATAATTGATATCAGGGTTTAGTGCGAGTTCAAAAATTCTTTGTAACTAATGTGGGAAAAAAGAAACAGAATATTGTTACATTAATGTAAAAATTAACATAGAAACAAAAATAATAAAATAATTCGTCATTTAACGATCGATTCTTGGATCGAAAATGGCGCATTATACTATAAAAATACAGTTACCTATCGAACTTAATATTCTACCCACCGTACGGCGCTTTTAAATACGTAAGTAGATCTCTTTTGACCGGCTATATGGTAATTTCTCTAGTCGGACAAGAGATGGTTTATATGGAATTCTAACCTAATCAAATCAGAATTTCTAAACAACATTGTGATGTTATTTTGTACAAAAAATAGAAAGATTTATCGTCTTTACGATTACTTAAGTACTCAATTTGGTAAGTACTTTCTTTTAATTGGTCACTAATGATAGTTTTTAATTAAAATACCTGTCTAGCACTGTGAAATATAGGATGTCCAAGTGTTACGCCAATAAACCAAGTGTGTGACAATGACTAACGATCACGTACGACAATGAACGAAGAGTATTTTGTTACCTTGTTAATAATATTCAACGACTGTTACTAACGACGATGTACGACATCGAAAAACGTTTAAAACGTCAGAAAACGTTAAAACTCTCCTTTTGTCTTCATATAATTTTATATCTTTACTTGGTTCTCTAACTCTTTTATCAAACTCTTCAATTATACGTCTATTTTCTTCGCTTGACATCTAGATAATGATTAAAATTCAATAGTTGGTGCGAGCTACCTCCCTCCTCGTTTAAATCTGAACAATAATAGGCGCAGGTCACTAAGCGTATTTTTTTCTCTTCATTGGTAATTTTCCCCACTCCACCGTTTTTCCCGTTTAAATCTGACCAGTAATAACGGAGATTGAAGCTTAGTCCCTACTGGCTTTTGTTCTATGCATGATTTTTCTGTTTGAAGTTAATAGAAATTTAATCCCCCACTCTCCCCACTCACCCGTTTTACCCTAAGACCGTATGTATCAGTCTTACCCATTGAATCTGTACCTCTCACTCTTACACATTGAATTCCCTATGTGGGCCCATAAAAGCTTTGTCTATCTACTTAAACCGTTTGAGGTTGAAGTTAGAACTGTAAAACTTATGGTGTATATCGAATCAATACATTTTAATTATTAAATTTTGTGTAAAAGATTTAGAAATAGTAACCGGGCATTATATTCCAATATAAATGATTAAATAATGTTTATTGACTATGCCTGTTTATTATAACAAATTAATATGGAGTTACTGTGATTGAATGTTTCCTGTTTCTCTTCAATACAAACAAATGGGGTTGACCAAAATAATTTTAAGGCTGTAGGGATACGATGAAGCTTTAACATAATATTAGAATAGGAATA